CTTTTCAAATTAGGAGCTACAAACAAGAAAATTCCTAGCAGGTTTGCTTATAATAGCAAAAACTAAATATGACAAAGTATAGCTTCAATATACAACATAGATAAATTTTAGAAATGTAATGATGAATTTAAAAAGAGCATTGCACTATAGCACGGCATCATTTTATAAAGTTTTATAAACACAAGCACAACTACACAACATGTTATTGGGGGATTATATAATCTGTGATAAATTATTTTTAAAAGGCAAAGTCATGCACAACACAAAACTCAGATTATCTTTGGGAGAGGGATAAGCAGTGATCTAACACTGGGAAGAACTGGCTTTAGTGGTTTTTTAATGTTCTAATTGTGAGCTTGTCTGTAGGTTCACAAGTATATGTTAATTATGATGCTTCATGATTTCTATTTTGTTATATTTTTCTTTTACACGTAACACATAGGACATAGAAACTTAACTGTTTCCCCAAATGGATCAAATATTTAAATTTAAGCACCAAAATGACCAAAGTACTGTAAGAAAATATATGATAATTTTAAAAAAATAACTGTGGGAGCTGGGGGTGTAGTTCACGAGTATACTGCTTGCCTAGCATATATAAGACTCTGAGTTGGATCCCTAGTAGCTTAAGAATAAAACAAAATAAAATAATTTTGGAATGATGAAGCTTTTCTAAAAATAACAACGACGACAATAACAAACACAAATCTAAAAAGATTGAGAGATTGGGCAAATTTAACCATAAGCAAAGTTAAAATACAACTACCAACTAGGAAAAAAATGTGTGTAATTCATGAAAAAGGACTAATTTCTTTCATATATACACTCCTACAAATCACCAAGAAAAATGAATCCTTTATAGAAATATAAGCATAGGGTATGAGCAGACAGTTCCCAGAGAAGGACACACAGATAGCTTTCAAGAGAGTGTGCTCAACCTCATTCAGAGGTAGAGGACTGGAAGTCCCTGGGGAAACATTCTTCAGTTACATGATGAAAGAAGAGTAGGGGTGGGATGGGGGGGGATTATGGCCACCACCACTTGTTGAAGTCATTTATCAACCCTGAGATCATTTGTCTTCACTCCTTGAAGCTTGTACTCTTGAACCACTGTATCATTCTCAATCACTGGTGCTGAGATAATTCTTGGTGATTTCAGTATCGACATAGATAATTCTAACACCATTTCCTCTCCACTGATCTTGTCTCTACCTTCCCTTGGCCACATATTCCCAATAAATATGAACTCTGAATAATCCCACCTATAGGAAACTCACTCTCCAACTACCTTCCAGCATCCAGCTCAACCCCTGCCTAGTCCCTCAACCCCAACAAATTTTCAGCCCCCCTCAGAATCTATGTTTACTTTCCAATTTCCCTCTCTTTAACTAGCTTCAATCCCTTGTTTCACTTATGCTAATTCCCCCTGGCAGATTCTTTTCACTCTCTTGCCCTCTGAGGTTTCAAATCCCTAAATCTGGCAAATCCCTAAGTCTAGTTTTATGTAACCACCCACCTGTTCTGCACCTGCACCTGCACCTGTGTACCCCAACGTGGCCAGAGAGATTTCTCGCTAAACTATGACCACAAACTTCAGGCAGGTCCTTAGTGCTGCTGGACAGTCACATGACATTTCCCCGGTTTATTCATCCTCCTGGACAACTAAGTCATGCCCTCTAGTGTCTCCCTCTCCATCTTCATCCTCAGTTTCCTATTTCATGAGAAAATAGAACAATCAGGAGCTGGGAGCTGTGGCGCACCCTGTAATCCCAGTGGCTCAGGAGGCTAAGACAGGAGGATCCCGAGTTTAAAGCCAGCCTCAGCAACAGTGAGGCACTAAGCAACTCAGTGAGACCCTGTCTTTAAATAAAATACAAAATAGGGCTGGGGATGTGGCTCAGTGGTGAGTGCCCCTGAGTTCAATACCTGGTACCCACCCACCTACCCCCCACACACAAAAAAAGAAAAAAAGAAAAGAATTTTTTTCTCACCCTTGCATTGTGCTCCAGCCACAACCCTCTAAAGAGTTTTACTCTAAACGGATCCTGTGTTTGTTGTTTGTAATCTCTCTTCTCCCATTCTTAGACACAGTTCTATCAAACTCTTGCTCCACTCCCCACTCCACTGAACTGCTTCTGTTGACAGGCCTAGTACTCTCCAGGTTGCTAAACCTAATGGACAATTCTTAGTCATTTTATCTTATCCACGAGCAGCATTTGATGTAGTTGCCTACCGCCTCCTTTTTGGAATATTTTCTTATCGAGGCTCCAAGACATGACACTGCCCTGTCCTCTTATCTCACTGGCAACTTCTTCGCATTCTCCTCTGCTAATTCTGCATCTTCATAACTTCTAACTGGACACCCCAGCACTCGGTTCTTAGACCTCTCCTATTTTCTACCAACACTCATTCTCTTGCTTTTTATCTGCAATCTGAATCTTTTCCTTGGAATTCAGACTCGGGTTTTCAGCTTCTTTCCCAACACCCCCACCCGAATGTTTGGTAAGCATCTGAAACATTACATGGTTAAAACCAAACTGCCAGTTTTTCTGCCTGCAAACTTGCTCTGTTCAATATTGTCTCTGTAAACTCCAACCTTCTGAATTTATCAGATCTGAAATTTTTGACTTTGATACCGCTCTTCTTCATCTCCCTCCTTCCATCACAAAATCCAAATACTTTTTTTTTTTTTCTTTTTGCAGTACTGGAGATTGAACTCAGGTCCTCACGGATGCCAGGCAAGCACTATACCACTGAGTTACAACCCAGCTCCCCGCGACCCCCTCCCCTGCTTTTTAAAATTCTGAGACAAGGTCTAAGTTGCCCAGGCTGGTCTTGAACTTGCTTCCTGCTTCAGCCTCCTGAGCAGCTAGCTGGGATTATAAGAGTGCACCATCATGCTCAGCTCCAAATAATTCTTTCACCCTCCTCTATAACATCCTAGTCTCAGCCTCTGTTCTTTCTCACTTGTGTTATTGTAGTGGCTTCTTGGGCTTCCTAAATCATCTCCCTGACTCCTACAGGTCATCATCAGCAGAGCAGGTAGAGTGGTCTTGCTAAAATGTATATCATTCTTCTCAAAACCCCCTTATGGCTTCCATGTCCTCCAGAATAAAAGCCAAAGTTCTTGCAGTGTCCTGCAAGCACAGCCCACATGCAGCCTACAAGTCCTGCAGGGTCCAGCCTTTCCCCCTGCCACACCCATTACTCCGGACACCTCCTCCATCTATCTATCCCTCTGACTCCAGCCACCTGGGCCTCTTTGCTGTTCCTTAAACATACCCTCCTGCTGAAAACGTCCTTCCCCTAGATCCACACATGCTTTCTCTTTTATTTCTTCAGGACTTGGCTACAATGTCATCTTTTCAGGCAGCATTAGATACTCTAAAATTGTAATGTTCCTTTCCTAGGCACATTTTGATTTTTCTTTCATTTTTCTCCTTGTGTTATGACCATCTAACATGCTATATGTTTTATTCATTTAGTTAGCTTATGTCTATCCTCCCTTATCAGATTAGAAACCCATGACCCCTAAGCTTTCTTAGGGGGTCAAGCCACAGTACATACAAGAGACCCTAGCACAGAGGAGATGCTCAAAAATTACTGAACAAATAAACAAAATACTTAATTGGCCAGAGAGTGTGGAACAAGCATTCTCAGAATATGGGTATGAATCCAAGTATTTTAACCTCTACAGAGGACAAATTGGCAATAACTATCAAAATGACAAGCAACTCAATGAGACCCTGTCTCTAAATAAAATACAAAAAAGAGCTAGGGATTTGGCTCAGTGGTTAAGTGTCCCTGGGTTCCTCCCCAGTGCAAAAAAAGAAAACCAAAAAAAGAAAGAAAGAAAAGAAAAATTATAAATGTACCTATCTTTTGACCCAGCAACTCTCTCTTTTTAAAAAATATCCTTTTATAAATTTACATATGTGTGAAACGACACAAGGACAACATAATTCAATAGTGTATTTTTTATCACTAAAACAGCTCAAATGTTCAGCAAGAGCTGACCATTTAAAGAAATTATGGTGTATCCGTCAATGGAATCTTTTGTAGCAGGAAAAAAAAAAAAGGAATAAGGAGACTTCTTGTGTCCTGATACAAATTCCCTGATATTTTTTTTTTCAGAGAAAAAGAAGGTCCTGCAAAATGTGTTTAGTCTGTCATCATTTTTGTAACAAAAGTAAAGGTATAAAAAGGATAGAGAGGATAGAGTGCATAACTATTTTCTTGTGGGTTCACAGCATATTTCAGGAAGAATACATAAGAAACTGGTAACAATGGTTGCTTATTTAGAAGGGAATGGATGGGTAAGTGGGAGAGTGGAAGACATTTCCTGTAAACCCTTTTAAACATCTTGAATTTTTGCATCTTGTGAATGTTTTATCTATTAAAAGGAGAATAAGGTATGGCTTATGTTCCCATATGGGATGATATTTAAGATATATTGTTTAAAAAAAAAGGTGCAAATGGGTGTGAACAGTATGTTATACAAGCAGAGGGCAGACTTAACTTTTCATTATGCTTTGTACCTTTTGGATTTTGTACCTTATCTATGCATTTCCTACTCAAAAAGAAATCAAATAACTTAAAGATGAAAATCGTGGAGAGAGAATGCATTTTCACATACGTCACCTAAGATCATCAGTTCTTAGGACTGAAACCTGCCAAGGATTCCCCACTTTTCCATGGGGGAAGCAGGTATTGAGAGAAGTCAAGTCAAACAGTGCAGAGGTGGACCAGGGACTCTCCCATGCCCCTCCTCCCCCCTCTGCAGCCTCTCCCTGGGTGCTGGTTCACAGCTCCAGGAAGCTTGCCATCCGGGACTTCACTCAGGAGGCCAGGGATGGCAGGCCTCCGTGGTCCCTGGCAACTTCTCCCTGGGGTCAGAGCCACCTGTGTGGTATCGGGAGCTGCTGTGCTCTTCCCTCAAGCCCCTGTATTCTGAGGTTGAAACCAGCCCCGTAGCTCCAGGCCCCTCCCCCAGCTTGTACCTGTCAATAATGACTGGGTCTGAGGGTGTCTCATTCCTGTTGCCACAGCTCTTCCGGTCACAGCACCGACTGGAGGAAAGATGAGGAGGGAGGGGAGGAAGAAGCAGTGAAAGAGGGGAGAGAACAGTGGGCATGGGCGGGTAGGTACAGGCAGACCTTGGTGAGGGTGCCGATGTCCAGTCTCTGGGTATGGAATCCCTGGGTGCAGGGGCCCACTCCCAGGGTCCTGGGGGAGATATGCAGTGGGGGACCTGACAGGGACCCTGACAACTGAGTCCTGAGGAGAAGATTGGCTGTGAAGCCTTTGTCCCTAAAGTGCATTGCTCCTGGAGGACCTAGGACAGGGTAGGCAGCAGGCCATCTGCAGGGTGTATGATGTGTGTGTGTGTGTGCGCACGCGCGTGTGTGCACTGTTATAGAAACACCATTTCCACATAGAAAAAGGTTGGAATTGCATGCACGCAGCTCATAAATGATCACAAAGTGAAGCTGTTCATGTAACCAGCATACAGATCAGGAGTACCAGATCAGCACGCTCTAAGACCCTTGTCACTCCTCTTCACAAAGGTGGCCACCATCCCAATGACAGATTTTGGAACATGATTCTCTTTTCCACGCATCAGGAGCTTCCTGGGAAGAACCTGTGCAACTGGCCCTGGGGCGATCTTGCTGGAAATGCCAAGTTCTGGGGTAACGGAGCCAAGAGCTATGTTCTCACCCCGACCCTGTGGTCAGAGAGCTGTCCCCAGATTCATGCAGAGGCAGCAAAGTTTCCTACCTCCAGTCTCAGAGCTAATCCCGGAGGCCTCTGGGCTGGCTGGCCCAGGCCCTGCCCCCCATCTCCCCAGAGCCCCTCCCCTGAGCTTTATTAGTTCAGCTTCCAGTGGCGGCAGGAGGCCTCTCTTACAAAAACACTCGGAGAAGCCACATAAACAGGCCAGGCTAATGGGGCCTCAAGGACCCTCTCCTCAGCCAGCACTGTACCCAGGGGCCTCACTCCTCTCACCCCTCCCCTCACCAAGCTCCCAGGGGTACTGTGAAGGGGGGGCGGCAAGCTCAGGGGGCAGGGACTGGCGGAGGCCTTGGCAACATTCTGGCAAAGGGGCGCGAGGCAAACGACACAGCCCGTCTCACCTGCACATGATCTCATGGGTGAGCAGCACTCGGCACATTTCAGGGTTCTTGTCCTGCCCTTCATAGATGATGGCCTGGGGGAGGGGGAGCACACAGGCTGGAGAGGAAGGAGGCTCCTCTCAAGTCCAGGGGGAGTGCAAAGGTGGGCTGTGGGTCTACACTGGCATCTCCCAAGCCCAGGCTGAGGAGAGTCCCTGCCCCCCGGAGAAGATCATGCCCTCCACCTTGCTCTGAGGGAGCCCAGGGGTGCAAAGCAGGAGGCTGGAGCCTGGCTGGCCCAGTGCAGAGCCTCCTACCCCCAGAACAGGACCACCACCAGGGTAGCAAAAATGGCATGAGCTCGACAGATTGTGTTTATCTGCAGGAAGCTCTTTCTAAAGGTAGCTCTTCTTGGGGTCTGTGGTGATGGGGGTGTCTCCACTAGGACCAAGGCCAGGCTGCCAATGGGACAGACATGCTCCTATCCTCACCCTGCATCATATTCCTCCTCCATGCAGGGTGTTCCCACACTCCTAGTGGACCTCTGACTCTGCTCATGAATGTTGTCCCTCTTAGTTACCCTGCTAACTTATCAGATCCAAGGGCTGCACAGCTGCCTCTTCCCCCATCCTATCACCTCCCTAGGCCAGGCCAGTGTGTCTGGCTCAGACTCTTGGATCAACATCTTCCCCAGCTTCCCCAGCCTGCATCTGCCCTGAGCAAGGGGTGAGCTTCCAAGACTGCAAATCTGGCTTCCCTGTCTGTAGCTCTCTGGGCCTCCCAGGCTTCCTCCTCTGTGGGGTCTCTTTCTCTCTGAATGTCTTTGAACTCTTTCCTCACTTATCCTCAACAAAACTCCAATTTGTTGCTGCCTGACCTTCTTCTCCCACCACAGAGACCAAAGATTTCTGGATATAAACTATTTCTTCCTCTGCCCTGGGACTAGATGGAGGCTGCTATTAGCCTCTGCCCATGCAGGACAGTTCAAGTGTCTACCTTGCATTCCAGGCCACTGATCTGGCCTGTTTGCAACTTGAGCCACTCCTGACCAGCAAGCACAGTGTCTTTGAGAAGCCCTGAGACTTGGGGTTCTGCCTCACACAATCCATCAGGGCTTCACTCAGGTTTCATTTTCTCCAAGCTGCTTATGTTGGCCTCTGACCCTCCTTCCTGTGATTGTCACATTAGCAAGGAGCTGAGAATCTGCAGTGGAAGCTCCTGGGGCCTCACCCAGATCCCTTTACAGGACCAGAGCACCCAGCCCCCACTGTGCTGGCTGTGGAGGGCTTTCTCTGGAGAACTGCTCCCCAGAGACGGAGCTGCCTCTCCTGCATCCACTTCCCTTAGGAGGAGTCCCCAAACAATGACTGACTGATACACAGTGCAAAATCTTGGCCTCCTCAATTCAGGCTGGGCCAACACTGGTGCCATTTCTTCTCCAGTGCTCTCTGTGGATCAGTCTGTGGCCATCTCCTAGCTGTGCATCTTCCTGCCTGCTCTCCTCCCTCCCCTTCTCTCCAGCCTCCCCCGACCCACCCCTGGGCCATATCCCCAACAAACTACTTGCACCTGAATTCTCATCTTAGGCTGAGCTGCCAGGGGACATGACCTAAGCCAGAGGCTCACACAAATATCGTCATTTCTGACTAGAGAGAAAGTGCCCAATGGTCCTAGCTCCTACTCCAAGCAGGGGTGGGGACTGGAAGAGTGAGACTGGTGTGGATAAAAGGCACAGGGGTGGGGAGGTGGACAAGGACAGGATGAGGAGCTCACTCAGAGAGGAGGGAGCCAGGTCCAAGAAGAAGGTGGGACAGGCCTCGCATCCCCTGGCTGGCTCACCTGCTTAGACATGGAGTCGATGAGTCGCACATAGAGGTCTTGCTCTGTCCGAAGTCCTAAGGTGGGAAGGTGGGGAGGGTTGCTGTCGGGGTGTACCCGGGGCCTCTGATGACTGGATCACACCCCCACCCTCCCCACCACTGGCAAGGGGCCTTGTATGTCACACAGTGCTGCGGTACTCAGGCTTCTTCTGGGTCGGGGCTGAGCAAGGTACTGGCCTTTGCTTACCATTGTTATACACCAGCCGCAGGCGGTAATGGATCCCGTTGTTTGTTTTTTCTGCCCCAGGCTCCTAAGGGACAAGAGGAGGAAGGTTGCCAAGGTACTCAGGGACCCTTGAGCCTCCTGTACCCATACCCTCTTCCTTAAGCCCACTCTCCTCCCTTTTAGCCATCCACCCCCTCTCTATTCATCCAACATCTATCCATCCATTTGCCCCAGTGTGTGTGAGTGTGTGTGCGCACGTGTGCATGTGTTGCAGGGTCGGGGGTCCCTTAAGTCCTCCCGTCCCTCCCAGTGCTGGTCCCAGGCCAGCCCACGAGCCTCTCACTCGGTCCTTCTCCACGAAGTCGATGAAGGCTGTACGCTCCACCTCCACGGGCTGCCCCTGCCGGTCATACATGGCCAGCACGAAGTGGAAGAAGTTGGATTTCCTGAGGTTGGAAGGGGGCTGCTTCTCAAAATGTGCTCGTGCCAGGCCCACGCCACTGCAGGAGGAAAGGAGCTGGAAAACCGCCGGAAGGACCCTCCCGTGAGAAAGACCCCCATGTCTCTGGCCAGGACCCGGCTCCAAGATGTCAAGAGTTTGGGCAAGAAATCAGACTACATGGGCTCTTCCACCCTGGTCTGGGCTATCTTGGTCCCTGAATGAGGCCTCTCAGCACCAGGATCACCTGGTCTGCTGCTTTGGAAGCAAAGGGTACCTGCATGGGTGTCGCCTGGAGGCCTCCTGTCAGGCCCCCTCTCAGGCTTTTCCCTCAGCTCCACATTTTGAAAATCTGATCTCAGAAGCCAGAAGTACAAACCAACCCATCTTATTGACCACAGGCTCCTGGGACTGCCTGTTAGGGCAATTAAGGGGCACTTGGAAGGTTCTGGAACAAATTTCCCATTGAATCCGAGCCCACAGCTGAGGCTTCTGTGAGCCTGTAGTATGGCCTAGGAAATGGTGTCCCTCACATTATCAGAGACATCAAACTGGCTTCAGGCCACAAGTCTGCTCAGTCTGGACCCTGGTGTATGGCTGAAGATGGGGAATATCTTCCCCAGGTGTACAGAGATCTGTCTCCAGCCCAAAGAAAGACAACCATGGCTCCCTGGGGCAGGAGAACCTTCTAGTCTGACCTTGCCAAGCATTTTCTCCTGGTTCATCAGAAGCCATTCCCAGAAGCAAGGCCAGGGTAAGAGCAGAAGGAAGAGAAGAATCAAGATCCTGCTTGTCAAATACTTCCTGAATTCCAGTGGTGTACTAAGGTCTGGTGTACCGACAAATGGGACTGGAGTGAAATGCCTTGAAGGAGAGGCATTTCTTTCTTTTGTTCTTTCACAGAGAAGTGGAACATGGGACAAAGTGGTAGGCATTTCCCAAAAGATGTCACCATGTATAAAACTAAGAAATGCTAAAAAAAAAAAAAAGAAAAGAAAAGAAAAAAAAATCGATTCTTTTTGTGGGAGAGGAGGGGAAAACTTCACGGAGATGGTGGCTTTTCCTCTGGATTTGAGGAGTAAATAGGAGCTCAATAAGTGGAGGAGGCAACAAAACAGAACCAACAGCCTGAGAAATGGCTGGGCATGTGAGGGTTAGTGTCTCTGGACCAGATTTCAAAAACTGAAGTGGAGGTTGAATGTGGCAGTGCATGCCTATAGTCCTGGCTATATATGGTAGGCTAGGGTGAATCACTTGAGTTCATGACTTTGAGACCAGTCTGGGTAACACAGTAGATAGACCCCCATCTCAAAAAAAAAAAAAAAGAGAAAAAAGAAAGAGAGAGAGAGAGAGAGAGAGAGAGAGAGAGAAAATAAAAGAAAGAAGAAAAAGTGAAGTGAGGAGAGAAAAATTTGCATGGGAAGTCCTGCCAGAATGTGCAGGGTACCAAACACTAGGAGAAGGAGTTTAGACTTTCTTCTCTGGGCTGTGGTCTTCCAAAGCATGTTCCTTAGATGTTTTGTGGCTCCAGATTCTCCCTTTAGAATGGGTTCTGTGGCCACAGTTGCTGGGAAATGCAGTTTCGTGGCTCACTGGGAGTCTTTGGGGGGGCCTTGAGATATCCTCCAGATTCTACTTGAGCTGGCACAGGCCAGTGTTCCCTCCAAAATGATTCCTAATGATCCATGCCCTTGTGGAGTCTCCTCTCATATTGGGTTGGGATTGGTCTGTGCTGCCAATAGAATATGGCACAAATGGTAGCACACAATTTCCAAGGCTAGATCATATAGGCATTGCAGCTTCTGCCTTGTGCTCTCTCTCAGACTGTCACTCCAAGGAAGCCAGCTGCCATGTTGTGAGGACTCAGACTGCTCTATGGAGAGAAGAACTGAGGCCTCCTGCCAACAGCCAAGCACCAACTTGTCAATTTGAGCTACCTTGAATGCAGATCCATCAGGCTCAGTCAAGCCTTCGGATAATGGCAGCCCCGACCACCATCTTGACCACAGCCTCAGGACAAGCCCTGAGCCAGAACCGCCCAGCGAAGCTGCTCCTTGATTTCTCATTCACAGAAACTGTGAAATAAATGTTGGTTTTAAGCTGCTGAGTTTGGAGTAACTATTTTATGCAGTAACAGACAGTTAATGCATCATGCTTATTCTTACTTGATAGATACTTTTACTGGGGAGTGTAGTTTGGGAAACATGACTAAGGGTCACTAGAAAGTTCCAAAGGCAGGCAGAACTTAGAAGATGCTACAGGGGAGGACACAGTGTGGTGGACCAATGGGAGGCTGCTGTAGGGAGAGAATGAACTGCCCCAAGAGCCACGAAGACCAGCATCCCAGATGCCCACCAGAGGCATGCCACTGGGATAATGGCTGCCAAATCCATTCCTGCTGAACGTTTTTTAACCATATAATTTCTTCCTTCCTTCCTTCCTTCCCCCCCTCCTCTCTCTCTCTCTCTCTCTTTCTTTCATACTAGGGATTAAACCTAGGAGCAATTATCATTAAACTACATCCCCAGCCCTTTTTATTTTTAATTTTTAAATTTTATTTTGAGAAGGCTCTCACTAACTTGCCTAGGGCCTAAGCTGCTGAGGCTGGCCTCAAACTTGTGATCCTCCTGCCTTAGCCTCCCAACCTGCTGGGATTACAGGTGTGTGTCACCACACCTGGAATCTCCATATAGTTTAAAATCAATTAACTCTTTTCTATTCTAAGTCATAGTACCTGAGATGCCATGGGCAGGAGGGGCTTGTGTTTTTACCCTTACAGATTACACCCAAATAATATAATGAACATTGTTCCTCCCCGCTGAGAGGGTGCTTGGGAGCCACAGTGGTCATATGAAGTGGTGATACAGGAGGCAGAAATGATGAGACCTCTCCTCCCCTGCTCAAGATGAGGGGGAGGGGCCAAAGGTTTCTTTCTCCAGGGATGTCCTGCTCCCTGCATTCTTCTCCATTCCCTTCCCCTTGGACTGCAGCCCTTTCAAGTGGAGGCCTTGACCAGCCCCTCCACCCACTTCCCTAACCAGCTGAGAGGCAGGGAAGCCCTAAGAGGGCTTTCGATCACAGCAGGTTCCTGATTAATGTTGATGAATATGCTAATGAGGTGCCAACCCTGAGCTCCTCCTTCCTTCTCCCAGGGCCAGCTTAGTTTGAGCTCGCTAAGGGGAAGGTTCCAGGACTACCTAGTGGGAGAGAAGGCCAGAGGGGGTGGCATTGTGGAGCAATCCCAGGTCACTGCTGCCCCTTATTCTGACTTTTCAGCCTGGAAGTCTCCTGGGTAGTGGGGAAGGAGAGGTCAGAGAAAGAAAGGAGGGGTGTATGCTGAGAGCCAACAGAATCCCCTTGGCCGCTCAACACACTCCTTCTACACAGAGGCCCTTGCACTACACACGCCAAATTCCAAATGGGTACAGAGTCTATCCTCTCCTTGCCCCCTATCTTTGGCAAATATCAGTCAGTCCTGGGTCCTGCCTGCTCCCAGCTCCTGCTAGGCCCCTGAGAACCAGACCAAGGAAGTCTGGTCTAAGCCCCATGCTAAACTCCCTTCACTGGGCTTGGTCTCTCCATGGGAGGGGATTACTGGGGGTGAGGGAGTATAGGGACTAGGGGAGGGGAAGAAAGCAGGCTCCCCTGGATCTGTGGACCAGTATCCAGTATTGCAGGCCGGGGGCACAGTTCACTTGCCTGTGCTCTGCCCCACAGCAGGTCCTGCTCAGCTGCACTTCCCCTGAGGCAGCCCAGAGCATCAACCTGACTTCCCTGCACTGCTCATGGATCTGAAGCCCAATCATCCTCCCAGGCTCACAGGCATCCGCGTCTGGTCCGTGGGGCAGCATTAACTAGTTTTCATCTCTGAGATAGGATCATTATCATGGACGAGCACAGAATAGTATGAATGACAGCTCTAACCCACTCCGGACCATGGGAGAATTACAGAGCGGGCAAGACACTTGCGGGCACGAGGCTGCTCCTGTCTGGCAAGTCTCCAGCTTACTTCCTTCATACCCCTGCCTGAGATCTCCTGAGATCAAAGTAAATGCTCTAAAGACATTCTAGTATTTCCTATGGATAAGGGACAGAATGGCACAAGGAGCAGCCTGTGGGGAGGAACAGGAACTGGGAGAAAACAGGCAAGCTGGACGGTGCCTTCCTTCCCTGATTGTCCCCAAGACCTCTTCACTCCCAACCATAGTAGGTGATGTATCCACATCTGTTGAATACAATTACAAGCCCCAAAGGGACAGTCCTGGGAGAGGGAAGGTGAGTAGCAGATGCTCTTGTAATGAGAAAGCAAATCAAGATTAAAAACCAGAAAGAAAGAAACAGAGATCACTCAAACAACTCAGGGGAGCCCATTGTTCTGAGGCCCCTGATAGGTACATCCTGGGTGCATGTTATGGGATAATGAGGTAAGGCACTTCAGCTCTAAGACTGAGAAACAGGGGATATGGATAAAGGCCAAGGTCTTTGATTCTGTGGTCTTCAAAGTGGAGCTGCCCAGACAACCACTGGTGCATGGAAAGAAACTTCAAGATGTCTATTGATTTATACTCTTTATCTAAAAGAAAGAAAGATGGAGAGAAGGGAGACTAGAGACCCCAAAGCCTGGAGAGGCGAGTCATTCCTTTGGCTTCCCCTAGAAGCAGACCCTGAGGCAACAATTCAAATACAAAGTTTATTTGGGCAGCAATTCCAGGAGTCATTGGGGGTGAGCATGGGGTGAGGTGGTAGGGGAGACAAGATGAGAAGATAAAGAGTGCATTTACTGTTTTTTTTTTTTTTAGTTGTACATGGACACAATATCTTTGTTTTATTTATTTATTTTTTTATGTGGTGCTGAGGATCCAACCCAGTGCCTCACCCATGCGAGGCAAACATTCAACTACTGAGCTACAACCTCAGCCCTAAAGAGTGCATTTTCAACAAGCTCCTGTTTTGGGCAACTGGAACTCAATCCCATGGGGGAACCCTGGAAACACATAGAATACGTACACCCAGAGCCATGGCTGGGTGAGCTGGTGCATTTGTCAGGCAACTTCAGTCATT